ATCTGACTATATTGTGAATGTCCACTCTGTGCATTTTATATATGGATGCTGTGTTTCTTAATGAAAAGAGTCAGCAGCCTAAAATAAATAGAAATAACAGGCATAGCAGACTCTGAGGTTTGGCAGTCACCAATTACTGGTTGCTGAGACACTGCCGGATGCCTACCCAACAACCAATTTCCTCCTTTTTCATGCTGGCAGGGATTAGTTTTTGCTCTGGTACCTACCTACAACATAAAACTTGGTCAACCTGATGGATCTAAGGCAAACAGGTGTCCCCATCCCCTCGTAAGTCATGTATTTAGGGGTGAGTGACCCATTTCTGGTCCATCAGATGTGTAAGTCTCCCAAGTGCATCTGCGAACAATCCCTGGCTTTTGAAGAGGCACATGAGGAAGAAATGGCTTTTTCGTCCCTGGTGGTGACAGTATCTGCATGCAGTATCTAGTCCTGGGGCTGACATCTAGAGAACAGGGGAGAAATAGGCCAGGAAATGCTGAGGGTGGTAGTACAGAAAGATGGGAGAAACTAGGCCCATCATAGGCCTCTGAATTAACCAACCTGAAGCCACGTCACCTCAAAACTCCTCCTGATGTGAGATTTCACCCAAATCTATATAGACTCATTCTGAATAGGGAGTTTCAGATTTCATGACAATTGGATTCACTTACAAAGTAAACCCTTGAATTAAAGCAAACCAAGGACAAGGGTACCTGCAGCACACTGAGATTTTAATGTTAAGTGAGGTCTTATTTCAAGAAATTAGAATTTATCAGATTTGGGAACTCGACTACTTCCAGTTATACCATAAATCAAATACTAAGCCATGCTTAAAAACTGCAATGAACTTAGTCAACCAGATGATGTCAGCACCAAAGCAAATGAACTTCAGTGAAGCCAAAGTGCCTTCACAGTTTGGTGCTGGGGACAAAGGTATTCCCTGTGAAAACTGCCAAAGCATTTTAAATATCCTCATCTGCTGACCTTGGCATTGGACATTATCTAAAACAGCTGATCCACACTAACATGGTTCAGCACAGAGCTTTTATTAAAGGACACATAATTTTAACCTGAGTCTTTAAATTTCATGTATGCAATTCTCATTGAATTCAATATAGTTTGGGGTTTCACAGCAGCTGGAAAGGGTATCAGGTGGCAAGGATACTTGCTAATAAGATTAAAAATTGAAATGTAAATTGACTAACATTTTGCATGGATTATCACATGCTCAAGAATCAGAATTTCAGCTTGGCCTCCATTCAACCAAGTGTCTCTCTATTTCTGCCCAAATTGATCTTGATAATAATGGTTGGTGAACTCAAAGACATCACAACGCATACAGCTTTTGCCAAACAGCAGGCCAGCATCTCAAGAAAGATAACGGGGCACGTGTTTGGCAAGAAGGTCTCAGAGCACAGCTGTGTCCAACGGCTGATCTTTTAAATATTCCTTTCACAGTGACCAAGTCTCTCTTCTACTGCTGGCTTCTTAGATGGCAGAGGAGGAAAGAGGAGTCACAGTAAGTGGGGGGTGCACGGGACATCCCAGTCAGAAACTCACAAATGTTTGAACTCTTTAGACTAGAATCTCAAAAAAGTGCTCCAAAAAAGACACATGAAAAGATGCACAACACCACAGTCATTATAGAAATTCAAATCAAGACTACAATGAGACACCACTTCAAACACACTAGGATGGCTATAATAAAAAGATGAACAGTGAGTGTTAGTGAGGATGTGGAGAAACTGGAACTTTCACCCACTGCTGGTTGAAATGTAAAACAGTCCAGGGGCAGTTCCTCAAAATGTTAAAACAGAGTTACCATATGACCCAGCAATTTCACTCCTAGGTAGTTATCTACCAAAAAAAAAAAAAAAAACTTGTACATAAATGTTTATAGCAGTATTATTCATAGCAGCCAGAGTGGAAGACCCAAATATCCATCAACTGATCACTAAACAAAATGCTGTATATATTCAATGGGCAATTGTTACAATGAACAATGCAACAATAAAATGCAATGTAAGTACTGCTATGTATAATGAATGATATGGATGAAACCTGACGACATTATGCTAAGTGAAAAAAGCCAATCTCAAAGGGACATACACTGTATGATTATATAAAATGTCCAGAATACACAAATAAAAAAATAGATGAGGAGTTCCCTAGGATTGAAGCAGGGGGTTATGGCTAAGGGGTACAAGGTTTCTTTTTGGGGTGATGAAAGGGTTCTAAAATTAGGTTGTGGTGGTGGTTAAACAACTGTGAATATACTAAAAACTACTGAATTGTACACCTTAAATAAATGAATTGTATCTAAATAAAGAAAAAGGGAGGGAGGGAAGAAGGAAGGAAAGAAGGAAGGAAGGAAGGAGAGTTGTAAAAGGAGAGTTGTATTTTATGTCTAAGAAGGCTGTGACTGAGAAACTTGTCCTGGCTGAAAAACCAGCTGACGGGGTAATTCACACGTCACTGACTAGTCGTGATGAGGACCAAGCAGCTCACCAATCCAGATGTAGGGCAGCATTCCTTGGCATGACCACCCACCCACCAGCAGACTTCCTACTCGAGTGGCTCCCAGCCATCTGCCAGGTTTCTGCTCTGAGCTGCCTGAGACCTATTAGCCCTGTCCCAACTCAATCACCGCTTCCACTGGTTCACGATTCTACTTCTGACAGGAGCTCGGAAGTGACACCCAAATGACAGAAGGGAGCAGCAGTTGCTGCAGTGGTCAAAGCAGACTCCCCTTGGACACCTGGCTACCCTGACAACTGTCCCCTGCTACATCAGAAACCATCAAACTCAACAATGGGGACAAACCCAACACCATCCCAAACATGACCCAGCTGGGTTCTCACCTCCAGAATTCTATGATTGGGTGCAAAACAAACCGAAATGACGCTCATATTTTAAGAAAAAGAGAAGAGGACCACCACATTAGGCACATAGTTATGAAGACAAAAATATTTCAGCCACAATAGTTTTTTCCATTATAATAAAGATTGTGGTTCATGATAGAACTTTACAGACCAAAGACAAAATTAACATGACAATGCTGTTTCAAGTAAGCGGAGAAAACTATGTATTCCCACACAGCAGTATGAGAATGAAAGAGTGATGCGTGCTCTGCAGACAGCAGAAAGAAAAGGCACCCTCATTGTCTTTTGGATGGGAGACCTACTCTTCAGAAGTGAAACTAAGATTTAGAGTTTTAACCCGACAAAAGGCAAGCTTGAGGAACAGATACACTGTACATTTCACCCTCACACCTGGGGGGCAGTATTTCAGCTGGCAAAAAGTGTCAAGCCTGAGAGGAGTGAGGTGTGGGAAAGGCCCAGACAGGCAAACCTGTACTTCCAAGGCTGATCAGGGACTGGCAGCAGGTATTCAGGAATTCAGGTCAAATGCAGGGAGGCTGCTGGACATGAACTAAAAACTGGGTGAGTTAGATTTCCCAGTACATGGGTATCAGAGACTGGGAGGAAGCCCTGTGCCTGTGTAGAGAAAAGTTAAGAACAGGAAAGAGGGTCCCCTGGAACGAGGATCGAGCAAGACGAAGACATGGGGTGGGGAAGTCTGGATAGACGCCAGGAAGATTGGAAGAAGACTGCAAGTGGTCCCAGAGCAGGGCAGGAGGCTTGGGGGTGGAGCAGCTGGAAGGGGCTGGATGCCTGGACCATGAAGAGAAAGAAGCAGCGAGTGGAACAGGGGACCCAGGAGGCAAGATCCCAGCAGACTGTGAGCAGCACTCAGGGAGTGAGTGTCTGGTCTCGAGGTGGGGCCAGGGCCTGACCAATCAGTGGTGCGTGTGGTGCTCCCCCGTCTGGGGGGTCTGATGAAGCCCTCCTAAGATCTCAGTAAGAGGAAGCCCCTAGGGTCTGCGGATTCCTGGGACTGAGGAAGAGGCGGGAGGGCAGGACTCAGCTCTGAGAGAATCTGACATGGGCCCAGACACGGGGAGGGTCCCGAGTCTGGTGAAACCAACGGAGAGTTCTTCAGGGTCTGAAAAGGGCTGGTGGCAGTCCCTGATGTAGGGACGACAGGTCGTGAGGAGGGAGGACCCGGGCCTTCCCCGAGTCATGGGGGGCTTCCGGATCCCAGACCGGCCGGTCACCGGCTTCAAGTCTGGGAGAGTGTTCGGGGTCCGCCAGAAGCGGGTCTTGACGGGCTCCGGGTTCGAGAGGGCAGGTCAGGGCTGGGGCTCGGAGAGTGTGAGGCACAGGCTGGGCAGGTCCCGGGTGGGAAGCGCCGGGTGCAAGAGGCCCCGGCGACGAGGGCCTGCTCCGCGGCTGCGAGCTCGAGGAGCCGAGACGGGCACGGCCCGTGAGCGCCGCGAGGAGGCCCTCGGGCCCCGGCCCGGCCCGGCGCTCACCTGCAGCACCACCTCTACGTCGTACGAGTTCCCCTTGCTCTTCTGGTGGCCGCGGAACTTGGAGCCGCTGTAGAGCAGGCTGGTGGCCACGCCGGGCTGCTGGGTGTTGATGGGCGGCGGCGGGATGAGTGAGGCCGCGGAGGCAGCCGAGGCACCGGCCGGCGGGGGACACTCGGTGCGGACCGGCATCGCGGGGTCCCCCGGAGCCAGGGCTGGGGGGAGTGGGAGAGGAACCGCCGCCGCCGCGCGGGAGCCAAGGAGGGTGGCGGGGAGGGAGAGGCCGGGGCGCGCACGCGCAGGGTGGGGGCGGGAGGGGCGACCACCGGTCCGCTGTCTGCGGACTAAGCGCTCCGGCCGCCACTGGGACCCAGGGACCTGCGAGCAGGGCCTCCCAGTCCTGAGCTGGGTCCCCCTCCCGACTTGCCCTCGCGCACACATACACACACGCAGACACAGACACACACACACACACACACACACACACAGACAGACACACACACACACACACACACACGCGCACGCACACACACCCCGCCCCTTCTGATTGGCTCGAGCGAGCCGGGGGGGGCGGGAACAGGTTCACGCGGCGCTTCCACCCATTGGCGGGAGGAGAAAGCACGTGGTGGGGTGCGCCAGTGGCCCGCTGGGACTTGTAGTCTCCTCGCTGAGGAGCGGCGTGGAGGGGGCGGAGCGAGGTGCGTTTGTGATGCTAAGTGACTGGGGGTGTGCGCAGGAGGCGTGCGGCGGCGACGGCACGCCGTTGGTGTCATGTGGAAGATGGCGGCATCCAGGGGAGGCTGAGGGCTCTGAGGGGGCGGTGAGAGGTTTCCGTACAGCCCGAACGTGCGGCTTTGGAGGTCCCTTCGCTCAGTTTCCTGCTCCAGGTTTCGCGCCGCGCATCCTCCCAGACCCTCCGGCGCGATGTGGAGGAGCTGCCACCGGCTGCGGGACGGGGGACGCCGCCTCCTGAAACGGCCTGCGGGTGGCCCCAGCCCTTCTAAGAGTCCAGGGCCAACCATCCGGTTTCCAGCCCGGGCTTACGCCCCGCCGACAGGTGAGGCCATGAAGGTCCGAGCTGGGGTAAGGTGGGATTCGGACTTCTGCTGTGCAGGGCGGTGTGACTGAGGCGGGGTTCAGGCTCATGAGGTTATGCAGGCCGGTCGGGGCGCGGTGGCTCAAGCCTGTAATCCCAGCACTTTGGGAGGCCGAGGCGGGTGGATCACGAGGTCAAGAGATCGAGACCATCCTGGTCAACATGGTGAAACCCCGTCTCTACTAAAAATACAAAAAATTAGCTGGGCATGGTGGCACCTGCCTGTAATCCCAGCTACTCAGGAGGCTGAGGCAGGAGAATTGCCTGAACCCAGGAGGCGGAGGTTGCGGTGAGCCGAGATCGCGCCATTGCACTCCAGCCTGGGTAACAAGAGCGAAACTCCGTCTCAAAAACAACAACAACAACAACAAACAAACAGATGAAAAAGTGAAGCCCAAACAAAGGCAGACGACCCGAGGGGGAACAGCGCGTCATGTACGAGACAGTAATTGATATTTGGCCTGTGCAGCTTTTCTCAAAGCTTATGGCTGCCCTCTCTTTAATAAGGAAAGCAGGTGTCATCTTTGTTTTCCAAAGGGGAGGTTTGGGCCCTGAATCAGAACTTCGCCTAGGTTGCAGAGCAGACTCAGGTTTCTGGAGTCTGACTGTTTTCCATGTCTCCACTGCCCAACACAAGACCTGCACAGAAGGGCCAAGTTCAATCAGTCCTCCACCCCTGGCACTTAAGCTGCGGGTTTCCTGACTTTCCCTCCTAGGCAACCCCTGTCATCTGCAGCCTTCTCTCTCTCCTAAATAGAAATTTACACCTCCACCTCTGACTTTGGAATCACCTCCACCTCCAACTCTGATGAAGCTTGGAAGTTGTGGCTCTTTTGTTGCTGACAGCGAGTGGTGTTAGGGTGAGAGTGCGAATGACTCATTTCAATGAATGAAGAGCAGTAACACCCTCCCCCCACCGTTCAATTACTTTTATTGTGCTGGGGGCAGGAGGCGCAGTAGTCTTTAAGACCCACCTGTATGTATTGGTAGAGAAGCTCAATTAAAGAAGAAAAAGGGCCAGGCGTGGTGGCTCAAACCTGTAATCCCAGCACTTTGGGAGGCCGAGGCGGGTGGATCACGAGGTCGAGAGATCGAGACCATCCTGGTCTACATGGTGAAACCCCGTCTCTACTAAAAATACAAAAAAAACTAGCTGGGCATGGTGGTGCACGCCTGTAATCCCAGCTATTCAGGAGGCTGAGGCAGGAGAATTGCCTGAGCCCAGGAGGCGGAGGTTGCGGTGAGCCGAGATCGTGCCATTGCACTCCAGCCTGGGTAACAAGAGCGAAACTCCGTCTCAAAAAAAAGAAAAGAAAATCCGGAACTTCACAGGCAGTTTGGCATGTGGCAGGAGTGGAAATCTAGGATCTGATGCTGGCTGAACCTCTGAGGTCTGTGTGATCTTGGGCATGTAACTACTTTCTCATTTTTCTCTGTGAGGTGAAGTACTATGTTGCCTTTGAGGGTCTTTCTGGCTGTCAGATTCTATAACTTTATAGAAATGGGGGAGAGGGCTGGATGCAGCTGAAGTTTCTCCTGTAGGACTTGGGGGAAGGGCCAGTAAAGAAGAAGAAAGGACATCCCAGGGAGTCATAGCAAAGGGGACACATTCTGGAGTTCACCAAGTTGGAAAAAGCAAAGGGTTAATTAATTAATTATTTTATGTATATATTTATTTATTTTAAGATGAAATGTTGCTCTTGTCTCCCCTACTGGAGTGCAGTGGTGTAATCTCAGCTCACTGCAACCTCTGCCTCCCCTGTTCAAGCAATTCTCCTGCCTCAGCCTCTGGAGTAGCTGGGATTACAGACATCTGTCACCACCCAGCTAATTTTGTATTTTTAGTAGAGACGGGGGTTTCACCATGTTGGCCAGACTGGACATGAACTCCTGACCCAGGTGATCCTCCCACCTTGGCCTCCCAAAGTGCTGGGATTACAGGCGTGGGTCACCACATTTGACCACGAAGGGTTAATTTAGATTCGTGGATGCTCTCTTTACCTAATGGTGGCACTTGATTCTACTGTTTTCTTTTCCTTTCCACTGCAAACTTACTAGTTTAGGCACTTGGAAGTACCTGGCACATGGTAGGTAGTCAAATGCAAAAGAAAATAGGAGTGAATGAATGAATGAGGAGGAAGGTGCATAAATCAGGCCCGTGTGTGCTCTACAAAGACCTTACCAGTTGTGAGATATTTGTGCGTGTTTGTAGTAGAAGATTAAACCCAAGTAGGTTCTTCTCAATGAATACTTCAGTTAGCAAGCTGATTGAACTTGGCTGCTTAGGAATGGCCATGCCATTGAAGATCATCAGAAGGAGAAGAAGAGTTTAGGAAAGGGTCACTGAGGTGTTGGAGAAGGAGGTATTACAACAAGAAGACCTATGTGAGTGGTGAGATTGTGAGTGGCATGATCTCAGCTCACCACACCCTCCACCTCCTGAGTTCAGTTCTGCACCCGCTTGTCAGATGTCTATTGACTGCCCAGATTGGGAGGTGTTCTGGAGAAACCTATCTAATCAGCATATCTGGCTGAATGCAACTGCCTAATGAAGTCAAAGCTAGAAGTCTTGTCTCTGCTATTTACTAGTTGTCTGTCGCCTAGAGAAGACGTTAGGTTCGCATTAGCGGCCTTGTCATCCTCATAGGATAGTGGTGTGGATTGAGGGAGATTATGTGGTCTGTAGATCAGGGTCCAGCCTGCCACCTGTTTTTGTAAACAGAGTTTTATTGGAACACAGCCACATGCATTCGTTTACATATCATCTATGGCTGCTTTCACTACAGTGGAGAGTTGAATAGTTGGAACGGATATTGTTTGGCCTGCAAAGCTTAGAATATTTACTGTCTGATTCTTTACAGAAAAAGTTTGCTAAATGTGTAACGTTTAGCCTGAAGGATTTTTAACAGCTTTATGGAGATATTTACTTGCTTTACGATTTATTTACTTAAAGTGTAAATATAATAGTTTTAGTATATTTATAGAATTGTACAACCATTGCCACAATCAATTTTAGAACATTTTTATCATTTTTATCACTTGCAGAAGAAACCCGTACCGTTTTTAGCTGTCATCCACCCTTACCCCTTCCATCTCTTGGCAACTACTACTTTACTTTGTTCTTTTATAGATTTCCCTGTTTGGGACATTTCATATAAATAGAATGTGGTCTTTTTTGATCTTTTTTTTTTTTTTTTTTTTTTTTTAAACACGGAGTTTCATCTTGTTGCCCAGGCTGGAGTGCAATAGCACAATCTCTGCCCACCACAACCTCCGCCTCCTGAGCTCAAACGATTCTCTTGCCTTAGCCTCCTGAGTAGCTGGGATTACAGGCATGTGCCACCACACCCAGCTAATTTTGTGTTTTTAGTAGAAATGGGTTTCTTCATGTTGGTCAGGATGGTCTTAAACTGCTGACCTCAGGTGATTCACCCACCTCAGCCTCCCAAAGTACTGGGATTACAGGCATTAGCTACCATGCCTGGCCCTGACTTTTTCACTTAGCATAATGTTTTAAAGTTTGGTTTTTTTTTTTCCTTTTTCTTTTAAGAGATGGGGTCTCTTTTGCCCAGGCTGGAGTGTAGTGGCACAATCACAGCTCACTAATTTCAAACTCCTGGGCTCAAGTGATCCTCCTGCTTCAGCGTCCCAAGTAGTTAGGGCTACAGGTGCACACCACCGTGCCTGGCTAGTTTTTTAGTGTTTTGTAGAGATGGGGTCTTGCTCAGGCTGGTCTCAAACTCCTGGCCTCAAGTGATCCTCCTGCCTCAGCTTCCCAGAGTGTTGGGATTACAGGAATGAGCCACCACACCAAACGTTTTTAAGTTTTATCTACCTTGTATCATATAGCAATACTCCATTCTTCTTTATTGCCAAACAGTAGTCCATTGTATATGTAGACTTGCCACATTTTACTTATCCATTCATCTGCTGGTGGACACAGGGTGGTGTGGACATATGTTTCCATTTCTCTTGGTTATATACCTAAGAGTAGAATTACTTGGTCAATTGGCAACTCTCCTTAACTTTTGGAAGAACTGCCAGACTATTTTCCAAGGTGGCTGTGCCATTTCACATTTCCACCAGCAGTGCTTGAGGGGTCCGGTTTCTCTACATCTCAACAACACTTGTTATTGTCTTTTTTATTATAGCTGTCCTAAAGGGTTTGAAGTGGTATCTCATTGTGGTTTTGATTTGCATTTCTCTGATGAATTATGTTGAGTATCTTTTTACGTGTTTAATGGCTGTTTGCATATTTTCTTTGAAAAAATGTCTATTCAGATCACTTTACCATTTTCTTTTTTTTTATAAAGAGATGGGGTCTTGCTCTGTCACCCAGGCTGTAGTGCAAGTGGCACCGTCACAGCTCACTGCAGCCTCAGCCTCCTGGGCTCAAGCGAGCCTCACACCTCAGCCTCCAAAGTAGCTGGGAACTACAGGTATGTTCCACCATGCCCAGCTAACTTAAAAAATTTTTCATACAGACAGGGTCTTGCTGTGTTGCCTAGGCCGGTCTCCAACTCCTGGTCTCAAGCGAACTTCCTACCTTGGTCTCCCAGAATTGACCATTTTAAAATTGGGTTATTTTGTTGTTGTTGTTGACACAGGGCCTCGCTCTGATCCCGAGTGCGGCGGTGTCATCATGGCTTATTGGAGCCTGCCTCAATCTCCCAGGCTGAGGTGATCCTCTCACTTCAGCCTCCTGAGTAGCTAGTACTACAGGCATGTGCCACCATGCCTGGCTACTTTTTGTTTTTGTTTTTGTTTTTTTTTTTTGATGGAGTCTCTCTCTGAAGCCCAGGCTAGAGTGCAGCGGCATGATCTCAGCTCACTGCAGCCTCCGCCTCCCGGTCCCAGTTCAAGCAATTCTTCTGCCTCAGCCTCCTGAGTAGCTGGGATTACAGGCATGCACCACCATGCCCAGCTAATTTTTTATTTTTAGTAGAGACGGGGTTTCACCATGTTGGCCAGGACGGTCTTGAACTCCTGACCTCATGATCTGCCTGCCTCTCCCTCCCAAAGTACTAGAATTACAGTTGTGAGCCACTGCGCCTAGCCTAATTTTTGTAGAGAAAGGGTTTTGCCATGTTGCTCAGGCTGGTCTTGAACTCCTGGGCTCAAGTGATCCACCTGCCTCAACAGCTAAAGTGCTGGTCTTACAGGCATGACCCACCATGCCTGGCCTATTTGTCGTTTCATTATTGAGTTGTAAGAGTTCTTTATGTATTTGGGCTGAAGAATTTTGATACCTGAAAACAGTTGGTTAGAACTGCCCTAGGATTACAGATGGATCTGGAGTTAGAATTTCACCTTTAAGGTTTAAGGCCCACCAGATGGCACTGTTTTAAAAGATAAAGGCGTTGAGACACCTCTGAAACCAGTACTTCCTCTTCTGTGTGCACTGTGGGAGTTGTGGTTCCTGAGGCTGGGATCTTTCTAAAGAGAAGGCCAGTTCTGCGTGATCCTACGAAGCTAGGCTGATTTTTTTCCATCTTTAAATACAGGGTTCCTATTGATGTCTACTAACCCTGTAGACATAACCCTTTCTACTGAGAACATGGGAGCTTCATGGGTTTCTGGTGGTCTCACAGTTTGTCTTATGTGACATTGTTGGGCAACATGGATCCCCTGAATGAATTGTCCAGATCATGTTCTTTTTTTTTTTTTTTTGAGACAGAGTCTCGCTTTGTCACCTTGGCTGGAGTCCAGTGGTGCCGTCTTGGCTCACTACAACCTCTGCCTCCTGGGTTCAACTGATTTTCAGCCTTCTGAGTAGCTGGAATTACAGGAAGGCACCACCATGCCTGGTTAACTTTTTTTATTTCTTGTGGAGACAGGGTTTCACCATGTTGGCCAGGCTGCTCTCGAACTCCTGGCCTCAAGTGATCTGTTCTCTGCCTCCCACGTTCTGGGATTACAGGCATGAGCCACCATGCCCGGCTCCAGATCATGTTCTTGTGTGCTTGTGTGGACACTTTATTTGGCTCCCTTTGCTGTCTTTGCAGTGATCTACATGTCCCCCAGATTTGGCCCCATTGTCCTCTCTAGCATGTTAGAGAATCTCGCATTCTCCTTCTGACCATCTATCTAGTCCACAGTTACTCTCTCAAAGCCCTGGTCCTTCTTGCAACCTGTTTCTTCTGGAAACGACTACTTTTTCTTTTTTAATATATATGTATATATTTTATTGTACTTTAGGTTCTGGGGTACATGTGTGGCTCATGCAGGATTGTTGCATAGGTACATACATGGCAATGTGGTTTGCTGCCTTCATCCCTCCATCACCTATATCTGGCATTTCTCCCCATGTTATTCCTCCCCAACCTCCCTACCCTCCACTCTGGAAACTACTACAGGCCCCCTCCGCAAAAAAAAAAAAAAAAAAAAAAAATATATATATATATATATATATATATATATATATATGCACATACATATATATACGTATATATGAATCAATCATAAACTTTGGTACCTCCTGCCTCATCTTCAAGTTGCATTTTTCATTCTGACTGCTTGAAGGTCTTCCTTAGGGTGTTGCATCATTCCATGTGCTTACCCCATCACAGAAGTCACTTTATTGTTTGCCTGGTTTAGTGTCTGTATTCCTACTAGACAGTAAGTGGCTAGAGGGCAGAGATGAACTTTGTACACATCCCATCCCCAGGACTTATCATATGTCCTGGAACATGATTAGTACTCACTAAAGCTTATCCCAAGACACATTTGCCCCTCCAAGTGTCAATGGGTCATTGAGGAGAGCCCCTGTCTAAAACACATCTATGTGCACCTGCCTTCTAATCTGAGGCCTGGCAGCTCCTAGGCTCCATTTGCCCTTCTGCCATCTCATTTTCTGCAGGGTTTTCTTCTGCTTTGAGCAATTTTGGTGGCTTCTTCCTTGCCCTCCATCCATCCCACTCCCGTCTAATTTTTTCATATTCAGTTACAGAAGTGAGTCTGGCAAACAAAACAGAAAAAAAGACTTGCCTCTTAGGAAACCTGGCTGTCCCAGGAGCTTTTGAAGGTTCAGCCCTGTGCTGGCAGTTTCTGCCCTGAGTCTGTTCCTCTGCCCCAGGTCTCTTGGGTCCGCTTCCCAGGCCAGGCCTGGTAGTATACTAGAGTGCTCACTGGCACATTGTACTCTCTGCCGGCACTTCCTGCTGACATGGGAACACCCTTTCCCCAGTGTTAAGTCAGAGCTTTCAGAGCCCTTCCCAACTTCCTGCTTGGCCTGGCTTTTATACATGCTGCCCAGCCTGTGCATTGGAAAACACAAAGGCCATGGTCTACCTCCCTCCAGACCCATGTCTAACCTGCCATTTGGATATGACCAGGATAGCATGTAGAGAAATTTAAAAGCACTAGGGTTCTGTAAACTTCCAATTTCAGTGTCAAATGTATGAGATAATCAGTGTTGTGATTTTAGATGAAGGTGGTAAATCATGCCATAGTAAGACAGCATCATCTTGATGGACAGATCTGACCGCTTAAAAAAAACTTTAAACTTTATTCACTGTTATATCCCAAGTGCCAATGACAGTGCCTGGCACATGGTAGACACACAAATGTTTTTGTGGGAAAACAATTTGGACCTTAGTTTAGTAAGTGCAAATGTGGAATGCAATTTTGGGCCCTCTGTCTTTTAGTATTAATGATAGTAAATGAGATTTATAGAAAACTGACACGATGGGAAAACAAAAAGAATTTGGAGTAAAACCAGTTGCCCGCTTCTCCATTACCCTTCCCTTTTCACACAGACATACTAATTTCTTCTGAATTTTCATGGTCTATTTGAATTAGTGAAATTTTAACTTAAGTTTTTTTTTTTTTTTTTTTTTTTAAAGAGACAGGACCCAGGCTGTTTGTTCTGTTGTCCAGGCTGGAGTGCAGTGGTGCCATCACAGCTCACTGCAGCCTCAGCCTCCTGGGCTCAAGCAAGCTTCCTACTTCAACCTCCCTAGTAGCTGAGACTATAGGCGTGTGCCACCATGCCTGCTTAATTTTTTATTTTATTTTATTTTTGAGACGGAGTCTTGCTGTTGCCCAGGCTGGGGTGCAGCGGCACAATCTCAGCTCACTGCAGCCTCTGCCTCCTGGGTTCAAGCAATTCTCCTGCCTCAGCACTCCCTACCAGTAGCTGGTAGTACAGGCAGGTGCCACCACACCAGGCTGATTTTTGAACTTTTAGTAGAGACAGGGTTTTGCCACGTTGGCTAGGCTGGTCTCCTGACCTCAGGTGATCCATCTGCCTCTGCCCCACAAAGTGCTGGGATTACAGGTGTGAGCCACTGTACCCGGCCTTATTTTTGTATTTTTTGTAGAAACAGGGCCTCATTATGTTATCCAGGCTGGGTCTTGAACTCTTGGCCTCAAGCAGTCTTCCCACCTTGGTCTCCCAAAGTGCTAGGATTATAGGCATGAGCCACTATGAGCAGCTTTTTTTTTTTTTTTTTTTTTTTTTTTTTTTTTTTTTAAAAGCATTAAAAGCGAAAGATTGGTCTGGTCACGGTGGTTCACACCTGTAATGCCAGCAATTTGGGAAGGCAAGGGGGGTGGCTAACGTGAGGTTAGGAGTTCGGGACCAGTCTGGCTGGCATGGCATTTTGTATTTACTCAAAATACAAAAAAAATTAGCCAGGTGTGGTGGCGCACACCTGTAATCCCAGCTACTGGGGCGGCGAGTGTTCAAGGAGAATCACTTAAACCCAGGAGGCAGAGGTTTCAGTGAGCCGAGATTGCACCACTACACTCCAGCCTGGACCAGAGAGTGAGATGCCATCTTAAAAACAAACAAACAGGATTTAATCTTTTTTCCTTCACATGCTGCATCATTATTTCCAATAAATAATTTCAGTTGGGGGTCTCCAAAGACTTTTAGAAATCAGGAACTATGAACGCATGAACGAGTGAACAAACGAATGAATGAATGAAAGTTTTGTGTTTGTCATAGATGTGAGAGACTGAGTTTTATAGCTTCCAAAATGTGACTTCTTTGTTATCAGTTGAGGGACTCGGCATAATTCCTTACGAAGTGTTTTTGGTTGTTCATCCCTCCAGGGTAAAAGAGGGAGACTGTTTCATGTAAGATTTTATTCAAGTTATTTTCAAAAGAAAACAACACAGATTTTTCTCTTTCTTGAAGGAAATGTTTGGAGTTCCTGTTGGATACACAAGCTAAGCTGGTTAATTAGGTTAATTAATTGGAGAGAGGGGATGGGAAATACCCTTGGGAGCTCTGCATCCTGCCTATGTGCCACACACGCACGCCCTGCACATGCACACTGGCTTTCCACTCACTCCTTAGAGGCATCAGTCTTGCCTGAAATGGGTCTCTGGCTTTGTCCCACGCAGACACTGACTTTAGGTTTGAACTTGTTGTGCCGGCATGGGATGGCCCTGGTGGTGGGGAGGGTGGGAGAGCCTCCCAAGATGTTAAAGCAGGGAGGTTGGGAAGTCTGACCACTTGCACTGCAGCTCCATGATGCTCCTGATCAGACTTGTCCCTGAGCCGAGGGGTTGGTGGAGACATGACCAGCATGTCCTCTTCCTCCCTCCTCCCTGGAGATCGGATGCTCCCTTCCCCCAGCTTTAATCAGAAGCGGTTGATTATACCATGTTGAGTAGGGCAGACCTTGAATAGGGATATGAAAATCAAGCCAATCAATCAACATTAGCAGTAATGATAGAAGATGGTCTTGTCACTTCCTGAGTTGTCTCAACGTTATTTTAAACTGCCTCTTTGAAAAATCTTTCTTACAGAAAGGAAGAGGTTTTATCAGAATGTCAGCATCACACAGGGTGAAGGTGAGTGTCTGAAATTTTGACTGCCTCTTTTTTTTTTTTTTTTTTTTTTTGTGAATGGTTGGGAACATTTTTCATCTTCAGCTGGTTCCATGGTGAGATTATCCTTCCTGCTTTTGTCAGATATATTTCTGTAAGGGACTCAGAGTTGGCTTTGTCTGCACCAATTCAAGTGGCTAAATATAGGAATGGTCACTTGATTCCGCTTAACAAATCCCTGAGAGTTTTTCATTTGATCTTTCAAGGTGGCTTTGAGATAAACCTGGACCACAGGAAGCTGAAAACTCCCCAAGCCAAGCTCTTTACCGTGCCCAGCGAGGCCCTGGCCATCGCAGTGGCCACTGAATGGGATTCCCAGCAGGATACCATCAAGTACTACACCATGCACCTGGTAACAAGTTCATAGTGTGAACCTGCACCCTGAGACTCACCCAGGCCTTCCTAGGGTAGATCCCTTACCAAGTTCTGACAAGGCCCTGGGGGATGGTCCTTTGCCTGCTTGGGCCCCAGATATTCACCTCCTCTTGAGTCACTAATGTGCTAAACTCTTTCCTTGTCTGGTCTGGCCACTTGCACTTCTGTCTCCTGGGAACACGATGCTGGATGGCTGGTTTCGCCTCTGGTTTCAGGACAGATGTCACCTTCATTGATTGCCCAATTCTCTTATTTTCTATGACAGCAGCTGGCCATTTGTTTTGTCAGCGCTTAGACAATTTATAATTTTTTTTATGTTTGCACATTTATTGTCTGTCTCCTCCACTGTCTGGTAAGCAACAGAAGGGCAGGAGCCATGTCTCTTTTACCCACCAGTGTCCAGACAGCCACTAGGAGGAAGTATAGTTGGTACTCAGTAAATATTGGTTGAATATAGGATCCACTGGAGGACAGATCAGTGAGGTGAGGAAGACTCCTTATAGAACCAGCCCCCTTGTCCACACCAAAGTGGCGTGCTGAGGCACCCAGGCTGCCTGGGGAAGGAAGTGTCCAGCCTCTGCAGCTTCTAAACTGTAACCTTGGGCATGTCAATGCCCCTTTCTCAGCCCCGTATCCCCCATCTATTAAAGATGAGTGATAATAGGACCCACCTCACGGAGCCATGGTCAGGATGAGATGAGATGCTGCATAGAAAGCCCTTGGCATGGTCCCTTGGCTGTCTCCTATATTGACTGACTGGGCACTCAAGTCAATATAGGAGTCAGCTGCTGTCATCCCAGCCACTGCTGTGCTCAACCTTTGCAAACCCAGCTGGGCCTCCTTCCAACATGATAGCCTGCTGAGGTGCTGGCCTGGTACTTGACAGTCTAGTGAAAATAGGATGATTAGGGCTACAAATGAATACATATTGTACGCAGCCTGTTATTGACAAGGTAAGTCTGGAAAAAATGGTCTGTTTTTTTGAGACAGAGTCTCGCTCTGTTGCCAAGGCTGGCGTGCAATGGTACAATCTCGGCTCACTGCAACCTCTGCCTCTTGAGTTCAAGCAATTCTCCCATCTAGCTGGGATTAAAGCTACAGTAGCTGGGATTACAAGTGCCCACCACCACACCCAGCTAATTTTTGTATTTTTAGTAGAGACAGGGTTTCACCATGTTGGCCAGGCTGGTTTTGAACTCTTGACCTCAGGTGATCTGCCCACCTTGGCCTCCCAAAGTGCTGGGATTACAGGTGTGAGCCACCATGACCGGCCAAAACAATAATCTTGATCCCGATTTGAATGGTCTTTCCCTGCTTTCTCAGCTGTAAGGGGGCCAGCTGCTAAAGGTTTCTAGTCAGATTTGAGCTTCAGCATTGATACGTGTCTTATTAACTTTATGTGATGATGTACTTAACCTGTCTGGGCCTCAGTTTTCACAGATGGTCATAATAATAGAACCTATTCCAAAGGGTTATTGTGAGGATTAATTTTTTTTTTTTTTTTTGAGGCAGAGTCTTGCCCTGTCACTCAGGCTGGGGTGCAGTGGCAAGATCTTGGCTCACTGCAACCTCCACTTTCAGGTTCAAGCGATTCTCCTGCATCAGTCTCTGGAGTAGCTGAGATTATAGGCACCCACCACCACCAGCTAATTTTTTTTGTATTTTTAGTAGAGGTGAGGTTTTACTGTGTTGGTCAGGCTGGTCTCGAACTCCTGACCTTGTGATCCTCCCGTCTCAGCCTTCCAAAGTGCTGGGATTACAGGCATGAGCCACTGCGCCTGGCCGTGAGGATTAAATACACTAGAGCCTGGTAATAAAAGGCATGTGACCATGGGGAGGGTCACTAATCCTGGGGCTGCTGTAAGGTTCCCTTGAGTCCCGTGAGCATCAACACAAAGCCTCTGGCATGGAGCCCGGCTGTGGCACCCTCTCAGTAGCTGTGCTCCTGGTAGTGCAGATGCCTCTGGTGGGGCTGTGCTGTGGTGCTGTCTGCTATGTTTCAGATGTGGTGTCCTCAGGAAAGCAGGGCTTTTGCCTGACCCCGCAGGCAGTGACAGGGTGCTTTTTGCCTTTGATTCAGACCACATTGTGCAACACATCCTTGGACAACCCAACCCAGAGAAATAAGGATCAGCTGATCCGGGCAGCCGTGAAGTTTCTGGACACCGACACCATCTGGTAATGGACATTTATATGGGTATTCCCCTTGGGTTGAGACAGTCCCCTGGGGCTATTTTTCATGATTTGCCCAGATGGTTATCAGGGGAAGAAGAAACCCTCTCCATTTATTGCAAGGACAGGGAAGGTAGCCCACTTGACTTTGGCACTGGGCTGCTCTGTAGTCCCTTAGGAGGAGGACTCCTTGGGCTACGATGATGTGCGAACATGGCCACCCCTCTTCTGTAGCCCAGAAGCTGCTCCTTAGGCTGGGAGGGTGGTTATGCAGCTCTTGGAGGTGCCACGTCCACAGACCCCTTAGGCCTAGCGGGGGCCTGTGACCTTAAACTTCTGCCCACTGACACTTTCTCAGGTAGGCATACTTGACATTGCGGATGCTGATATTTAGGAGTGTCTTTCCCAGTTCTGAATTCTCCTCTGTGTCTATGTTTCTTGGCTGATTGGTCAGTAATACTGAACGAAAGTTGAAGAAACTGGAAATGACTGAGCAGCACTGTGCCTGCTAGGCCAAGTGCTCTAGGATACTAAGTCATCTCTGATGACACAGAAAGTCAGCACCGGCAGCTGGAGGCATGCTCTCGAAGGGGGTGGCCCATAGCTAGTGGGAAAGCCTACTCCATTTATATTAGAGTTCACTTGATTGCAGGGAGCAGAAACCCATTTAACCTAGCTCAGACAAAAAGGGGATTCTTGGAAACTATACAGGGATCCTGACAGGAAATAAAGGACAGTTGGATCACCAGGAAAGGGAGCTGAAAGATCCAATATCAGAGCTCCTCCCTGTGTCCTACTGGGATGAGAGGAGGGTTGGAGAGGAAAGGCTGGCCACTCATCTGCCCCTCCCAGCACCCCAACTTTTCCTGCATAAATCGTGACCTCTCTTCCCCACTTTGCTTATACAAGATGGTGGATTTCCATAGTGCCCACTTGAGTTCCCATCCCATGAGACCCTGCAGCTCAGCTCCTCTCAACTGACTCATGTCTGTGTCTCTTGTTCAAACAAATGGCACAGGCTGGCCTCTAGAGTGGTTCTATCAGGTCTGGCATCTGTGCCAGCCACTGCATCTATAGCCAGGAGGTGGGTGGACTTATGAGGTGTAAACAGGCTATTTGGTCTGTGGCCAGGGGCACACTCTCTTGGAGGGGGTGAAGGTAGGGATGCAAAGACTGAGCATCTGGCTCAGCATTCCCGTTTAGTATCCAGGTCAAGCACCTGTGGATCCGGGGTTGCAGACTGATTGGATCTGCTTTAGAATGGCAGTAACATAGTGCAGCAAGTTTGGAGCTGTCAAATATTTGGGGTCATTTAGGGTAGTGGTTCTCAAACTCAAGCTTACATTAAAATCCCCTAGAGGGCTTGTTAAAATAGATTGCTGGGCCCCACCTCCAAAGGTTCTGATTTCTATCAGGATGTGGCCTGAGAATAATGTGTATTTCTAACAAGTTCCCAGGTGATGCTGGTGCCAGGGCCACACTTTGAGAACCACTGCTTTAGGGGAAAAGACTTGTGGGGCTGGGATGGTGGTGGTGATGTTTTTGCTGTTGTCCTTTTTATTTTTCCTTTTCTATCACTGAATGAAGGAATTGTACTTTTTTATTAATGAAGGCGATTTTTACAATGAATTAGCTACAGGGTGGAGGAGCCAGAGACATTAGTGGAACTTCAAAGGAATGAGTGGGATCCAATCATAGAATGGGCTGAGACAAGGTAAGACGTGCAGCCCTGCAGAGAACACTGACTGGGCACCTGTGTCGGTAGTGTCGGAGTCGGGGGCCACGCTGGAAACTAATGCCCTTAGCTAGTCAGCTTTTCTATTTCAGAGCACTCATGGGATTTGGCTCCCCTCATGATCAGGGATAGGGTCTTCTTGGGAAAAAAGCACCTCGAACTCATTTCAGCCAGTATGTACAGCACACCTGCTACAGCAGTGCATGAAGTATAGGAGGCAGCTCTGTGTCCTTGGAGGAGCGCTGGAGTCCCTAGGTCACCTTCAGCCATTGGGTCAGAGCAGCAATGTCAGTATAAATCCCAGCTCTGCTAGAGACTCAACTGTGTGACTTTTGGCTAATGACTTGATCTCTCTGAGTTTCAATTTCCTTGTCTATAAATGGGGCTAATAATCCCTACGTCCCTACCTCTCAGGGTTTGAGGAGGAGTAAATGAATTGATGTATATAAAGGCTTATCATCCTGCTTAGCACACAGTAAATGTTCAAATTTTGGCAGGGATTTTCATCTTCATCACAATTGCTGTACTGTTAAATAAAATAACAGAACAACATGTATGATATGTATGCACTTGGAGAAAAGTATGGATAGCTTCCTGCAAAATTACTGGTAACATCCAGTGGATATGTAGCTTCCAGGAATTGATACCAAGTTATTTTTCCTTAATAGGAAGATTCTTTTGAGTGCAAAGTTGAATGGTTTATTTATTGATGTGGTGGCAAAAGAAATTTCGATTTCATTTGATCGCAAGGGAAATTTGGAAGGGCTGGCTTTCATGGTACCACCTTGACCATGGTATTTTCTAAGCTTGCAAGGCACTTTCTTTGCATAGCATTTTTCACAAAAGTGATGTTACCAGTCTGTTCACTGATATGCCACATGGTGCCTGATGCTCACAATGTGGCAGGTGTCCTTGGGTCTTAAAGGAGAAGGCAAAGCCAGTGCTCTAAAGACCAGACTACAATTCTGTGTGGGAATGTGACAATACAATGTCATTTCAGAATCTAATGAAATATAACAAAATTTAGGTGCTTAGAGAGCTTTGCTATAGTATAAAATCTTCAGATTCTTGTGGCAGGAAATATTCTATCCTTAAGAGTTTACAAAAAAACTTAAGCCATTTCCTACAGTCCATTTGTACTATGAGGAATCTCAGCAAGAATTGTTTTTTTCTTTCTTGAGATGGAGTCTTATTCTGTCACCCAAGCTGGAGTGCAGTGATGCAATCTTGGCTCACTGCAACCTCTACCTCCTAGGTTCAATCGATGCTCATGCCTCAGACTCCCAAGTGCCTGGGATTATATGTGCCTACCACACCCGGCTGATCTTTGTGTTTTTAGTATAGCTGGGGGTTTCAGCATGTTGGCCAGGCTAGTCTCGAACTCCTGTCCCCAAGTGATTGCCTGCCTCAGTCCCCCAAAGTGCTGGGATTATAGGCGTGAGCCACTGCACCCAGCCGGATTTTTTTAAGTAACAGAAAAAAATCAGTGATATATGGAAGAAAATTACAAAAATTACTTTTATCCCCCATTGTGTTTTTCTTCTGTTTTACTTAGTTATGGTTATTCTTGAAAATGTATCTGCTCTTGAAACCAGCACATGTCCCATAAACCACAGACCAAAAACAATGCCTTGATAAATGTTTGAAAAAATAGGTCAGGCATGGTGGCTCACACCTGTAATCCCAGCACTTTGGGAGGTCTAGACGGGCGAATCACTTGAGGTCAGGAGTTCGAGACCAGCCTGGCCAACGAGGTGAAACCTCATCTCTACTAAAAATACAAAAATTGGCCAGGTGTGATGGTGAGCACTTGTAGTCCCAGCTACTCAGGAGGCAGAGGCAGGAGAATGGCTTAAACCTGGGAGGCAGAGGTTGCAGTGAGCTGAGATCACACCACTGCATTCCAGCCTGGGCGAGAGAGCAAGAAAGACTCCATCTCAAAAAAAAAAGGGAAAAAAAAGTTTGAAAAATGGCTGCCGACTTGTCTCCGTGGCTCATGCCTATAATCCTAATGCTTTGGGAGGCCGAAGTGGCCAGATCACTTGAGTCCAGGTATTTGAGACTACCTCAGGCAACATGGTGAAACTCCAACTCTACAAAAACAATTAGGTGTAGTGGCACACGGCTATAGTCCCAGCTACTTTGGGGACTGAGGTGGGAGGATTGCCTGAGCCTGGGAGGTTGAGGCTGCAGTGAGCCAAGATTGTGCCAGTGCACTCCAGCCTGGGTGACAGAGCGAGACTCTGTTTCAGTAAAGAAAAAAACCTCCATGATATATGACATACATAAACATTATTTTAAGGAAAACCATTTTAAATACTGTTTTTAACTTTTATATGGCCTCAAATGTGAAAATCTTTTTAAAGAGATGTAAAAGGCAGATAGCCTTTTGATGGAGATTCCAGGTGAATGAATGAACATTTCAGGCAACTAGCTGAGCACTAGCTCACATGACTCAGGAACCATCCCTTCATTCAGCACAGTTTCTTGGACCTCTGAGTTTGCTCTTGAGGGACAGAAAATTGGGTTGGGAGGGCACTGACCATGGTGGCAGTTGCTCCTGGCGTCCTCAAGACTAGCATTGGCCAATGCACACACACACTTAGAAGTTTAGGCCTTTGTTTCTAGTTAAAAGGTGGGCTGCTTTTGGGCTACAGCCTGACAGGGACAAACTGAAGCCCTTTTCCTTTCAGATATGGTGTGGAGATCAGCTCCTCCACCAGCATAATGGGACCCAGCATCCCCGCCAAGACTCCGGAGGTGCTTGTCAGCCACCTGGCGTCTTACAACACGTGGGCTCTGCAAGGTATGTGTGGAGTTTCCTGTGGGCGTGGCAGGCGGCTGTGAAAGCCATCAGTATCTGAAGCCTATACTTGCCCCTCCCCAGGTACTATGAGTGGGGAGGCACCAGAGGGCTCCGGGCTAGCTGAGTGTGGAGGCTGGCTGGCTCTGATGCCTGCCTGTCACTCGCCACTCTAGGCTCACGCCTTTTCACCTTTAACTTCTGCAGCTGGAGTCTTGAGTTCAGTCTCATTGCTCTGGCTTGGGTTACATGTCCATCCAATCACTAGACAGTGGGACAAGCTCTGATTTGCCAAGTTTGGGTCATGTGTCCCACTGGGTAAGAGCAGAGGAGGATCACCCCCAGGGAAAACCAGAGTGCTGTTTCAGAAGAGTGGCCCAATTGCCAGATAGCCCTTTGCACCACTCACTCCTGTTCTCTGCTAGGGCTGTTGGGACTCACAAGGGGTAAGTTGTGGCAGCTGCCCTGTTTTGGGTCCTGACTTGGCTTGTGTCCCTGCAGGCATTGAGTTTGTGGCTGCCCAGCTCAAGTCCATTGTGCTAACCTTGGGCCTGATTGACCTGCGCCTGACGGTGGAGCAGGCTGTGCTGTTGTCACGCCTGGAGGAGGAGTATCAGGTGAGGAGCAGTACCTCAAGTCCCACCTCCCCCTTCCTAGTTCAGACTCACTCTGAGGGAGCGGCTAACCCAGGCGTCCCCAAACTTTTTACACAGGGGGCCAGTTCACTGTCCCTCAGACCGTTGGAGGGCCACCACATACTGTACTCCTCTCACTGACCACCAATGAAAGAGGTGCCCCTTCCTGAAGTGCGGCGGGGGGCCGGATAAATGGCTTCAGGGGGCCGCATGTGGCCTGTGGGCCGTAGTTTGGGGACACCTGGTCTAACCCATATGAAGTAGTACTGTTATGTATACCTGGCTTTTATTGCTTTTGTGTAGGTGCAGAAATCAAAATCAAAGACCAGTGAAAGTATTATCAAGTAGACCTGGTGTGGTGGTTCACACCTGTAAACCCAACACTTTAGGAGGCTGAGATAGGTGGATCATTTGAGGTCAGGAGTTCAAGACCAGCCTGGGTAATATGGCAAAACCTCGTCTCTACAAAAAAATACAAAAATTAGTGCCTGTAGTGCCAGCTACTTGGGAGACTGAGGTGGGAGGATTGCTTGAACCTGGGAGGTGGAGGTTGCAGTGAGCCAAGATTGTGCCACAGCATTCCAGCCTGGGTGACAGAGTGAGACTCTGTCTCAAAAAAAAAAAAAAGTATTGTAAAGTAATAACAATAAAAAAGTAACAGTAAGTGCTTCTGCTGTGTTTCTGCACGTACCCATCTCACCTCCTCTCAGTAGCCTGGTCAGATAGGAGCTGTGGTTATCTCTGCTTTACACAGGAGGAAACTGAGATGCAAGGTTGCACCTCTGGAAAATGTGCCAGCTGGGATTTGAAGCCAGGTCTGGTGATTCTAGGGCCAAAGCTGTCAGGCCCCACTCTGCACGTGGAGGTTCATGGGTGGATAAAGACCATCTGGGCTTGATAAAGCCTGCAGAACAGCCCTGCCAAGATAACTGAGACCTGTTTGTGCTCTTACATCAGCTGAGCCTTCCTACCCTGACATTTTATCTGGCTGGCAGAGGAGTATGGGATAGCTGCTGTTTGTATACAAGTTTTGACTTACTGGGCTCAGAATTAAGGTTTTGCTACAGTATGGTTTGCATTTTTTAACTCTGAAAATTATGGCCATCTTTGCAGTCTTTTTGTTATGATGCCTCCAACTTCAGAAGGTTCATTGCTATTATGAATTGGTCCCTAGTATGGTTTAAAAAAAAAAAAAAGCTTTTTATAATGTATTTCCTAAGTTCGTGTAGTTTTCTCAGAAAAATGCCAGAGGAAAACCTTTTTGTATAACAAAGGAGGCCCGCTACTATTCTCTGATATCAGAACTGATTACACAGTAAAGGAGTGACTTGCAGGGCTGGTGGGAAGCCAGTCTAGGCTTTGCTTCTGACTATAGGACCCAAGCCAGGCCATCATTCTCTCCACTTGGGTTTCAATCCTCTACAAACAGAGGAATAACCTGAATTATGTATGTGATGGTATACAATCAAAGTATGGGATGCTCTTCAAATAACATATTACAATTGCACAGATCGGGACTGGGCAGCCCAGAAGTTCAAATAGCTTGTGTAGCATGGCAGATTCTGAGTTCCTGGGTGAGCTGGGGTGGCCAGGCCGGGCTTCTTAGGCCCCTAGCCAGGGAGGAGCCAGCAGGGTCTGGTTGGAGTTACACTGTCTGGACAGCCACATTGTGTGTCTGAGGGTTCTTCCCTCTTGTTTTTAGAGTTCCAGACAGAATCTGCAACCCCCAGTGTGCAGAGCAGAGCCATCCGTAGTTCTGTGACTACCTCAGGAGTCAGAGCTGAAGCCACTGTGTGGTCTTGCTTGATTTAGTTATTCCACCCACGTGGGGCTGCACTAGAAGCCCAGCATGCCAATGCAGCTTGCAGAGGCTGTCAGTTCACAGGCTTCCCGGGAGGAAATGTAGGAGAAGGAATAGCACATAGGTCAGGTCTCCTCAAAGAAGTCATATTGTGGTTCTGGTACCCAGCCTGCCCCACTTCTTCCAGACCATCCATGCCACAGAGAGCACAGGTGCCTGCTCTGGATCCCTAGGTGGGTGGGGGTATGTGTGTGGTTTTTGAAATAGGGTCTTGCTCTGTTGCCCAGGTTAGAGTACAGCAGGGTGATCTCGGCTCACTGCAGCCTCAACCTCCTGGGCTTAAAGCAGTCCTCTCACCCTAGGCTCTCAAGTAGCTGGGACACAGGTATGCCCCCACCCCCCGCCACGTTACCCAGCTAATTTAAAAAACTTTTTGTAGAGATTAGGTTTCACCATATTTATCCAGGCTGGTCTTGAACTCCTGGGTTCAAGCTGTCTTCCTGCCTTGGCCTCCCAAAGTGCTGGGATTACAGGCGTGAGCCACCATGCCTGGTCCACCTGGGTGTTCTTACCTGCTGCCTCCCCCAGGCATGTCTCACATGTTTCGGCAGGATTCAAACCTGTTGCCCTTGGCTGAGCTATTGAATGGAATGTGGCTTTGGCCAGGAGGCAGCCAGGCACTGGCCAGTCACACAGCAACTTGTCTTGTCCTTCCCTCAGATCCAGAAGTGGGGCAATATTGAGTGGGCCCATGACTACGAGCTGCAGGAGCTGCGAGCCCGCACTGCCGCCGGCACCCTCTTCGTCCATCTCTGCTCCGAGAGCAGCACAGTCAAGCACAAGCTCCTGAAGGAGTGAGGCCTGGGCAGCGCACAACAGCTCCCCTGGCCTTTGGGGTTCCCCAGCCTGTGGGGCTGGCTCCCTTGGCCTTTGGGGCTCAGCCTCAGAGTCACCCTGAGATTCCCCCGAGACACAGTGCGCTAGTGCAGCTGTCCAGAGGTCAGCCTGATTTCAACCCAGTTGCCCCTGGTCTGGCCAGCAGTGAACGTGGGAGACAAATTGTACAAGTGACTTTCTCTTGACACTGATTTTATTAAATATTTCTCACCCTGGAAATGTGCTGAGCCCTGTTTTCCTGTGTGCCTCGGCACTTCTCCATCTTCCTGTTTTGTCCAGGGTTCATAAGGTTCAGTAGCTTCTTTCCCATGGCGTGTTTGGGTATCTGCTGCCTGTGGTCGGGAACCTTGCACTGGGAAAACATGTCATCCACAGGCAGCTCTGTTTGTATTCTTCAGCCTCAGCTTGAAGGCTTTTTTTGGCTGGTTTTTAATCAAACGATCTTTTGAAATGATCTTGGTCTAAGCTGGTTGTTTCTATTTTTCCTACTGTTCTAAAACAGATGATTTACTTGAGAAAGTAGAAAATAGAAATTGTTCCTGGGCTAAAAGCCTGGATGGTCTTGGCGAAGTCACCTGATGTCCATGTTTTCACTCATCACCCACCCGGGAGTCCTAAGGGTCCTCCCGACACAGCCACCTCTAGTGTTCCAGGAGGCAGGTGCTGCTTTCTGGTGACAGGCCAGTGAGAGGACAGTGGGGAGACTGTGGTTCTCAGGCAGACAGGCTCTCTCAGCCCTGTGTCTTTGCCAGGCTGAGTAAGGAAATGGCATCAACACTGCTCACAGGGCACTGATCACACGCTGCATGCCTCTCCATGCTTCCCATGCACTGTCTCCCTGAACCGTTCCTGGACGGCACTCTGAGATACTGTCACTCTAAGGTACTGTCACACCAAGGCTGTGGAGGTGATGTAGTGGAGCAGAGATGCCCCACCTGTGCTCTGCTCTTCTGGACGGTCCTCGGGTCCCTGTGGCTGTCCTGAGCCTTGGTGGGCAGGCCCAGGCCCTAGCACCCTGGTGGGAGCTGCAGCCTCTCCTGCTTCCCCACCCCTCAGCACCCAGAGCAGAGAAGGTCTCAGCCCACCCCAGCCTCTTCTTGCCTGTTGGTAGCAGCCTGCCTGGGCGTGGCAGGGGAAACAGCAGGGGCACGTGTCTGACTTTATGCCACAGCCAAGAGTCTAGCCAATGGCAGCGCCCTTGGGACCAGCTGCCCTGGGACCAGCTGTTTGTCTCAAACTCTCCTCTTGTTCATACATGAACATGAATTCTAATTTTTTTTTTTTTTTTTTTTTTTTTTTTTTTTGAGATGGGAGTCTCCTCTCTTGCCCAGGCTGGAGTACAGTGGCCCAGTCTCGGCTCACTGTAACCTCTGCCTCCCGGGTTCAAGAGATTCTCTTGCCTTGGCCTCCTGAGTAGCTGGGATTACAGGTACATACTACTACATTTGGCTAATTTTTCTATTTTTAGTAGAGATGGGGTTTCACCATGTTGGTCAGGCTGACCTCGAACTCTTGACCTCATGATCTGCCCACCTTGGCCTCCCAAAGTGTTGGGATTACAGGCGTGAGTCACTATACCCAGCCGGATTTTTTTTGTTTATTTATTTATTTATTTAAACTAATAGGGGAAATGTGACATGAATCCTTTATTTTCTCTACATTTGGAAGTTCTTCCAGGGGTGGGGGAAGAATGGTCTTGGGGATCGTGGTTGAGAGATGCCCAGCAACTCCCCTGATGATGCTTGGTGAGGCATGTGCACTTTCTTCTCATAGTTGGGGCTGGTGCTTTGTTTTGAAGAAGCCCCTGTGACTGACACTCATCTAGTCTAGGATGTCGCTGTATTCGAGGTTGTCCAGTTCACTCTTCATGTGGTCGATGTACAGATTGATCTCCTTCACACGCTTGCGGTTCCTCATGATCTCATCCCTGTGAATCTGAGGAATGAAACCAAAACCAAAGCCTGATTCCTTCCATCAGATCATTGGTTAATATCTTTTTTTTTTTTTTTGAGACAGAGTCTTGCTCTGTCCCCAGTCTGGAGTGCAGTGGTATGATCTTGGCTCACTGCAACCTCTGCCTCCCTGTTCAAGCAGTTCTCCTGCCTCAGCCTCCTGAGTACCTGAGATTACAGGTGCATGCCACCATGCCCGGCTAATTTTTTGTATTTTAGTAAAGACAGGATTTTGCCATGTTGCCCAGGCTGGTCTCAAACTCCTGAGCTCAGGCAATCCACCCACCTCGGCCTCCCAAAGTGCTAGGATTACTGGTGTGAGCCACTGTGCCCAGCCTCATTGGTTAATATTTTTCAGTGAGTTCAGTTTGAGGGAAGGGAAAACAGTTCCTTGAGATCTGCAAGCCTCCTCATTTGCTTCAGAGCCTCCCCAGGTTCTGCTGATCTCTATATTTGTTTTTTTTTTTTTTTGTTTCGTTTTGTTTTGTTTTTTTGAGATGGAGTTTCGCTCTTGTTACCCAGGCTGGAGTGCAATGGCGTGATCTCGGCTCACCACAGCCTCCGCCTCCTGGGTTCAGGCAATTCTCCTGCCTCAGCCTCCTGAGTAGCTGGGATTACAGGCATGCGCCACCATGCCCGGCTGTATTTTTAGTAGAGACGGGGTTTCACCATGTTGACCAGGATGGTCTCGATCTCTTGACCTCGTGATCCACCCGCCTCGGCCTCCCAAAGTGCTGGGATTACAGGCTTGAGCCACCGCGCCCAGCCTTGATCCCTATATTTGAAGTAGGAGTTAGAAAAATGATGAAGCCACTGGGTGTTAAAGCCTCTGGGCAATGTTGTCTTCATTGTGGAGTTCTACAATCTTTAATTTTCTTTCTTTCTTCATTTCATTTCTTAATGAAAATTCTATCCACTACCTAGGGAGGACTTCCATGTCAGCCTAAAAAATTCTTCCAACCTGCTAGGATGGCTTGGCATTGACTCACCTTGTCTACTAAACGTGTACACCAGGAGTTGATTCTGGTCACCAGCTCATCTTCTCGATTGTCAATCTTCAGGAGGTGGATGTCATGCGATGCCCCCACAGCATTAACAATCGTATCCTTATCAACAAAAAGCTGGTGAGTGAAAAGAACCCAGTGAGATTGTGTGTGTCATTACACCCCAAACACTAAGAGCTGAGTAGCAAAGGAACATTTGGAAGTTATCTGGTTGTGCAGGCCACACTCGGAGCAGAGCACACCTTGGTATCAGCGTACTCTGCTGATTCATCTGTGAATTCATCTCTGACAGCCGCCTCCCCAACCACGCAGGGCAGGTGTTGTGGGGAAAGAGCCAACCAGGGTGTTACTTTGCAGTCCCCACTGGAAGCATGTTTCCTCCAGGGTGAAGGCAGGTGGCTGCCCAGGGGGTACCTCACCCAGGACATCTGTTCTCCCAATGCTTCTCTCTCAGTTACTCTCAAGTCTGACTTAACCAAAACCTCTGCCTGCTGGGTGAAAGGAAGCATGAAGCTGGCTGAGGGTCTCAAGGCTGCTCTGAGGACAGCAGGCCCTACAAACCGATGGATGTTCACCCCACAGTTGTCCCTCCACTGCCACTCATGTCAATAAAACCAAAGCTTGGATTCCATTTGGGTTCTCCTTCTGCTTTCTCTTGTTCCTGATTTTGTTGAAGTATTCTTCTTTGGTCAAATACATTTGGGAAAGCCAGCACACCCTAGGCCCCTGCTGAAAATTTGCAGGGTATAAAGTATTCCAAAGGCTCTACAAAGTCCTGTGGAAAATAAACCCTTTAAGCTTTATCTCTCTTGGTTTTCCCACTTATTTGGCCACATACTTCAGAGGAATGCCTGTTAATGTTTCGTGGGATGCTGATTTTCCACAGAATCCCATGTGGGAAAAGCCAGGTTAGCTGATGTGTGGAATGGGGTGTCTGGGGAACCAATTAGCAGAGTCAGAAGGGAGAAATGCAAGAAATTATTAAGTTCTTTCCATGTGTGTACAAGGTCCCAGGCCAGGCTCTGGGAATGGCTCAGAGGTGTGTAAAGCCTGTTTTCGGTGAGCCTCGGCAGTGTGCTTAGGAGTGGGGGCCCTGGTTATTTTAGAGATGACTACAACCACAGTGTCAACCCATCACAAAAAGGTTCTCATCCTTCATTCTAAAAAGTGGGTCATAGTGGAGCTCTTAGGCCAGGCAGAGAATTCATCCCCCTCAGAGTTTGAATATATAGAAAACAGCTTCAAAAGCTGTGAGAAGCAACAGAAAGCGAAGTCTGCTTAGAAACACATAGGATTAGAATTGGTTATGAAAAACTGACATTTGTAAAACGCAAACAGAAGGAAACTGGTTTCAGGGAATTACTTTGAAATGTAAGTTACAAGTTGTTTCTGGACTTTGAGTGGCCTAGAGTGGTGGCTACTTCAATTTTCCCTCTTAGAATAGTTTTTGTGGGTAGAATATTCTGGATCCCTCAACAGTTTCTGCAGGTTGAAAGCACTAGGGTGGAGGCAGGGGCTGCGCAAAAAGGTACTCCTGAGTCGTTTTTGACCTATTGCCCTGCTCTGTAGTCCCTGTGGCTGTACAGACACATTTCTTTCAAAGCAACTTCTTTGTTTAAACAATGCTGGCATCTTAAAAAATTGACTAATAACTGTACATATTGATGGGCTACATAATGATGTTTCAACACCTATCAGGTATAATGATCAGATCAGGGTATTAGCATATCCATCTCTAACATTTATCATTTCTTTGTGTTGAGAACATTCAATATCCTCCTTATAGCTATTTGAAACTATATGTTATTGTCAACTATAGTCATCCTATGGCGGTATAGAATACTAGAACTTATTCCTCCTATCTAGTTGTAATTTGGTATATTCTTTAACTAATATCTCCCTATTCCTCCATCCCCCTACCCTTTCCAGTCTCTGGAAGCCTCTGTTCTTTTTACTTCTATGAGATAAACTTTTTTAGCTTTGGCATATGAGTGAGAACATGAGGTGTTTAACTTTCTGTTCCTGGCTTATTTCACTTAACATAATGTCCCCCAGTTCCATCCATGTTGCCATGAATGCCAGGATTTCATTCTTTTTTTATGGCTGAATAGTATTCCATTGTGTGTATGTGCTGCATTTGCTTTATCCAGTCATCTGTTGTTGGGACACCTAGGTTGATTCTGTATCTTGCTATTGCTAACAGTGCTGCAGTAAACATGGGTGGAGATAGCTTTTCAATATAGTGATTTCCTTTCCTTTGGAT